GTGATGATATCTGTTATATGTTGCTTTGTATACTTTGTATTTGACTTTCATGCAGGAGTGGGCCCAGGGGTAGGGAGAATTCTCTATAAACTTGGAGCTTATTGAGATTGTTATCTCACCCCTTTTGGGGACATCATTTCAGGTTCTCAGATCCCCGGTGAGCCCTCACGAGGCAGGGACACGACCCTTGGTTAGAGGTGTACGACGGACCGGATTTTGAGTAGTTGTAGGCTACTGCTATTTTGGAGTATATTTACGTTGTTTCGTATACCATTATTTTGTGGATCATGATGTCTGATCCTTTATTTTGTATATGGCCTGTATATGTTTTGTACATGTTTTCCGCTTTGATGCATGTACAATCGTGTATTCATGCATGCTTATATTATGATGCAGTATTCAGTTATATGTTCGATTTGCATGCTGTTAGACGTAGTGGCATGGAGCCAAGTTATGCATGCGCCCATGGATGGGTATATGATCCTATGTGGATATCTGGTACTTCTGAAAGTATATACTGTATAAATTGTCTATCAGGGTACCTTGAGAGTGGGATTTGCAAATCCCCAGTTGTCCGATTTACAGTGGTTACTCTGTCCGATTTTCGTCTCCGTCAAATAAGAATTAAATTAGAATAAGTATGCAATGTGATATGTCATGTGTAAAAGGATTAAAGAAAAGGAAAAAGTTAGCTCGTATTTGCGTAAGTTAAGTCTTCTGCTGTTTTTGTTTGTATCATATGTATGTTAATTGAACCGGCTCGAGACGAGGATGTTACAAGGAACATATCTCATAATTGAGAAAATGCTAGAATAGATTGTGAGATGCTGCAATAAAAAAATCTTAAAAAATTCCAGAGATTGAGGTGAGTTTGTGAAATAGACATACTATTTATATTTCTCACTAAAACATATCACAAAATCTACACTAATAAAAAATCTATTAAAATAGTCAAATTTTTGAAGGGATAAGATATTATAACAACCGATTAGTGTTACTACCAATTAATTTCATCGTTAGATCGATTATTTTGATCCAACGGTTATATTTAGTTCTATCTTTGTATGATTATGATTCCCCATATTTAATGTGAAAGCATTCAATATGGAAAATCTTAACCATACAAAGGTATAAGTAAATATAAAATATTAAATATGAGAAATCATAACCATACAAAGATGAAAATAAATATAACCGTTGGATCAACATAACGATCTAACGGTGAAATTAATTGATAATAACATTAATTAGTTATTACAATATCCTTTCCCATTTTTGAATATCTTACAATTATGTTTACTTTGTTTAAAGGGAAAGGATATTGTGACAACCAAGTTGTGTTACTACCAAGTGACTACGACATTCGTAACGCTCCAATAATAATAAAGATATTGAGGAGCTGAACTGAATATCAAGGCAAGAAGCTGTAATACTCCAAAACAGTCTGGCCAAGAGCTTCAGTCTCCAAATTAAGAAACTCAGACATTGATCCGAGATACAAATCAGTCCGGCTACGGCTTCGGGCTCCAAGAAAAAGATGAAGACGGGTTTGGAGAGATGTGGTCCTGAAAAAAGGATCACACCCCAATCCGCGATAAAATGAAGACGGGTTTGGAGAGATGTGATCCCGGGAAAAGGAATACACCCCAATCCGCGATAGAGACCCAGGATAAAAATCCGGGATAAATGAAACTCTGGCAAGAAGCCGAGTTAAATATTACAACGTAGAGGTATTTGAACCCTCTTGCCTACGGGCAAGATTGCGAGTTCTAGCCCGACCTACAACGTCGAGGTATTTGAACCCTCTTGCCTACGGGCAAGATTGCGAGTTTTAGCCCGGCCTACAAAGCCGAGGTATTTGAACCCTCTTGCTTACGGGCAAGATTGCGAGTTCTAGCCTGGCCAATAATGTCGAGGTATTTGAACCCTCTTGCCTACGGGAAAGAGTGCGAGTTCTAGCCCGACCTACAACGTCGAGGTATTTGAACCCTCTTGCCTACGGGCAAGATTGCGAGTTCTAGCCCGACCAATAACGTCGAGGTATTTGAACCCGCTTGCCTAAGGGAAAGATTGTGAGTTCTAGCCCAGCCTACAACGCCGAGGTATTTGAACCCGTCTTGCAAAAATAGCAAGAACGTGAGTTCTAGCCAAGGTAAATAATCTTGGAAGATAGGGGGACGCCCTTAGATTCTAGAGTTCTTACGAAGAAATCAGAATTATTGCTAAGAAAGCAACACATCCAAGTTTTGATAAGAAATCAGACTTGCAGAGTAAAACAAAGAGATCACTGCTATTTAGAGTTGTCGAAATGGGCCAGCCCGGCCTATTTAGCCCTAGCCCAAGTGGGTTAGGGCCAAAAAGTCCGCTGGGTCAAAAAGCCCACAATGATATAGATCCACACGGGCCAAAGTCCTATGGGTTAGGGCCAGCCCGCGGGCCTTCTAAATTTTTTATGTATTTTTTACACTACTAAAAAAGATCATATTTTTTACAACAAATCTACGTTGCAAACAACAAAAAATTTCGTCAAAAAAATATTTTTTCGTTTGAATACATTTCATTGAAAGGCGATGTAATTTTTATCAGATGAAATTTTTTACAAATTTTTTTACAAAAATAAATTTTTGTCAAAATTTTTGACCGAATTTAGTTTCTGTCAAAAGTTTTGACGAACATAATTTTTAAATATTTTTGATAAAAAAAATTCCACCAAAAGTTTTGACGTAAAAAAGAATTTCGTCAAAAATTTTGATGAAACATTTACCGTCCAAAATTTTCGATGAAAATGTGTCCCAATGAAAATTTCGACGAAAATATTTTTTTCAAAAATTTTGAGGGAAATGTTTTTGGGAAACTTTCGACAAAATTTAGATTCCGTAAAGAATTTTGACGAAATATTTTTTTCGTCGAAATGTTTTTCGTCAAATTTTTTTACAGAAATAATTTCCGTCGATTTTGACGGAAATGTGTTTCGTTGAAAATTTTGATAGAAATATTTTTTATCAAAAAATTTGTCAAAAATATTTTTCGTCAAAAATTTTCGATGCAAATGTGTTTCGTAGAAAATTTCGATGAAATTTTTTTTCGTCAAAAAATATGACGAAGATATTTTCATCGAAAACTTTTAACGAAATTTAGATTCTATAAAGAATTTTGACGAATTTTTTTTCCGTCAAATTTCTTATCAGAAATATTTTTCGTCAAAACTTTGTACAAAAAAATTTCAATGGAAATGTGTATCGTTAAAAATTTAAAGGAAAATATTTTTCGTCAAAAATTTTGACAAATATGTTTTTTTTGTCAAATATTTTGACGAAATTTAGATTTCGTAAAGAATTTTGACAAAAAAATTTTATGTCAACAATTTATACAAAAAAAAATTTCGTCACATATTTTTACGGAATTATTTTTCGTCGAAAATTTTCACTGGAAATGTGTTTCGTTTAAAATTTTGATGGACATATTTTCCGTAAAAAAAATTGGCGAAAGTGTTTTTCAACAATTTTTTTACAGAATTGTTTTCTATTGAAAATTTTCGACAGAATTATTTTTCCTTGAAAAATTTGACGAAAATATTTATGTTGAAAGTTTCAACAGAATTTAGATTCTATCAAGAATTTTGACTGAATTTTTTTCCGAAAAAATTTATGTCACTTGTTTCGTCTCTATTTTTGACGTAATGTGATTTTTGTAAAAAATTTCGTCACTATTTTCGACGAAATATTTTTCATCGATAAATTCTGTCAGTATTTGACACTTTTATAATAATGTCACAATTAAAAATGAATCATATTTATGTAATTTTCACATTTTAATGCTAAGGATAGATATGTCACATTTAAAAATGATTCATATTTATGTAAATTGGGTTGAATATTGTAGCCCGCGGGCCAACCCCAACCTAACCCTATAATGAGAGGGTTTTAAGAGGATGTGGTTAAAATGGCCCCAATACATAGAGGGCTAAAATTTTATAGGGCTTAACATTGGGCTGGCCCTAGGGCTTGAGCCCTTTTTGACAGCTCTAGCTATTACATCCCGGCAGCCTGGACAACCAAACTACCGGGCTGGGGGGCAACTGTTATGGACCTGACAAAGGCCCATATTCTAGAAGGACCAATAAAGGACAACACCAAAAAGAAAGGAATCTCCTATTAATGACAATCCTATCCAGACAGCTAAGTAGTTGGACTTGGGCCCCCAATATTCCTAAGAGGCCCAGAAGTACACTCGTATCATGTAACCCTTCTATAAATAAGGGATTAAACCAATAAGGTACACACTCTCAAAACCTCTCTCTTAGCTTGTTACTGTGCACACACCCCACGCCTTGACTATGTCGATTATTATTGTGCACAGTAATCAGCCTACCCTCAAGGGTATCTCATTCATAGATACCTGAGAGAGGGCACCTAGATCCTACATAAAATATACTGCTTAGACGAATTCTAAAACAATTTTTAAAAATTCTAATCGAAGAGCACGTGAATTCTTTGATTAAAATTTCAATCCCATACATCGGCTTAAACTGATTCTAGGTGGTGTTTGGTTGGGAGCTTTTCAGCGGATATCTATCTTTCTCAAGTATGGCTTTTAGAAACACCATGTTTGTTTCAACGTTTTTCACCAAAAACCCATCTATCCAATTTGTTTGGATTTATGAGAAACATAGATATCCGCACTGTTTAGAAACCCAATTTGAAGGTGAGATTTTTCGGAAAACCGGTTATCTGGCTTTTAATGCACTGTTGATTTCATAAAGCTACCTAATTTTACCTAATTTTCCCAGTAAAGTTTTTTCCCACCAAACAACTTTTTTTACATTTTTTTACCTATCTCACTTTATCTATCTTTCCAATCATTTCTCTATCTATCTCATTTCCCTACTATTCCAAAAAAATTTCCTGAACCAAACGCCCCCCTAGGGTTTCTGCCCGAAAACTCTCCGTGTCTGGGACCAACTGCTTCATTGATTTTCATCTCTTTCATCCAAATCAACAATGGGCAAAAAGAAAGCAAAGGATCCACAACAAACCCCTCAAAGCGACTCTGTTTCATCCCCTTCCGGTATTTTCAACACGCTCTTTGGCAACGGGCCGGAACAGACCACCGCCACCGCTTCTCTATTTTCCGATTTCAACCCCTTTCGTAGAAAGCCTCAACAACATGCTTCGGTTTCTTACCCAACCATTCCCTCTCAAAGCCCTAACAATGGCGGCTCCGGGAGCCACGATTCCGGCGAAGATAAAAAGAGGAAGAGGAAGAAGAACAAGGAGAAAAGACCCATTCTTGATTCGGATTCCGTAACTGAAGCTTCGGAGAAGAAGAGGAAACGCGGTTCCGATGAAAGGGGAGGGGAAGGGAAAGATCTTAATTTGGGTACGCAAACAAAAAAGGGCGAGGTTGTAATCGAAGGTGAGGAGGGAAAGATGAAGAAGAAGAAGAGGAAAAGGGAAGAGCTTGAGAAAGAGTGGGAGGAGAAGAAGTATGGTGTGGTGGTGGAAGGAGAGGAAGATGAAAAGGAAAGGTTTGGGAATAAAACTGTTGGGAGCAAGAGGAAGATGATAGATAACCCAGCTGATATGTTGGTTTCAAAGGAAGGTTTTGATGATGAGGATAAGCTTTTGAGGACTATTTTTGTTGGGAATTTGCCTCTCAAGTTGAAAAAGAAGACTTTGTTGAAGGAGTTTAAGCAATTTGGTGAGGTTGAGTCTGTGAGGATTCGTTCTGTTCCAATACAAGATGTAGGTTTTCTTTTTGTTGAATGTTTGCTTTCGTTTGGTACTCTTTAAGGCTTCGATATATTTTTATTTTTTTGGGTGCTAAATTTATGTTTGTTACTTTTCTTGATGAACCAGACCAAAAAACCTAGGAAGGGAGCCATCCTTTCGAAGAAAATAAATGATTCCGCTGATAGGTAATGGGTCTGAATTGAACAATTATCGAATTGCAACTTCTTGTGATTATTGTCAATTGCTTGCAGAGAATACAGTTTTTTTTTTTGTCATTTTAGTGTGATTTTATGGATTCAATATCAAGTAAGCCTGCTCGTTTTGGGCTTGGAGAAATTATTCTGCTTTGATTTAATGCTTAGATTTTATATTTCGAATGGTCTTAAGTGACTTGAAGACAGTCTGATAAGAATACAATCATTTTCATGCATAGGAAGCCTTTTTCAGGCAAGACCACAATACTATATTGCCTTTGCAGTCTCTCTCTCTTAAGAAGCATTTATGCCATTACAATCTTGTTTTTCTTGTAAGGTCAGGACTAACTAAATAGACCGAGGTGAGACATACTCCCTCATTTGTTGATCCATCATCCCTCTTTTGTCAATCTCTTTAGCTTGGTATACTTCAGAGTCTGGACAAGGCTTATCAAAGTCAACACTACAACTTCCATTGAAAACATCAATTTGTTTTAGTTGGGAATCTGCAAAATGAAACATTAAATTAGTAAACCACTTAGAGCAGAAATATTTTATTTAATTGTTACTTTTACAACAAGAATCATAAAAAGTTACAAACCTTTTGACAAAACTGAATCTGGAGAAGGAATCTTTTCCAACCACTTCTGGCACATGATGGTACCCTGGAAATCTAGGAATGTATGGTCCAGAAATTCTGATCTCTCAAAATTTGTCATCTCTGCAAACCCAAAAGCACTTGTCCACGTTTCTAGCACACTAGGAATAGCAGGCAACACAAGCCTCTCAACTCCTAATTGCATGAGCTTCTGATGAAAGAAAAACACAAGTTAGAAAATTATAACTTAAAAAATAGCTGGAACTGTAGGACTTTATTTTTAAAAAATCTTTGACATTGTAATTATCCACATTTCATCCACCCCCATCACTTTAATTACACAAATTCAACATCAGTACTGAATACACATGCTTTCGAAATCATCGTTAGTTACTATATCCAGATTATACTGCTAGCCATATCAGATCACTGAATAAGCTATTAAAAATAAACACGCTGAGATACCAGAAATGAGAAAGTAGAACAAAGGTCTATAGAAAACCGATAATAAAACAAATTTATTAATCCATTTCCATATCAAACATGGAAAGTTCGATTAAATAATCATTCTTAAATTCTGTCACAGATGTAGCTTCTGTTAAGAACTAAATGCTAAAATGATATGAACCTCAAGCCAGGGAACGGAGGTGAGAGCACCGGAAGAGAGGAGGAAGATGAGGCAGAAGGAAGCGTACCAATGGAGAAGGAAGATGAAGTACTTAGAAGAGGGAAGAGAGTCAGAGTAAGAGCCAGGTGGACCAAAGACTTTGTGATGGGGGCACGTGGACAATAGGTGGCATCATCTGATGGAGTTGGTGGCATCAGCTGATGGAGTTGGTCTATTAATTCTTAGTGGGCTTGAGTTGTTACTGTTAGCCCATTTACCCGTTGTTAGTTTCCTTCTATTGTAATGGGTCTGGACTATTACCAACCCAAAGTGTTGCTCTATCATTTAGCTCTGCCTTAAGTAGCTGAGAGGAACTGTAGTAGAGGTAGCTTAGTACTGATAACTGAATTCTCTCCTTCCTCTTATCATTTCTGGAGTTGCCGGCAACCTCGAATTGCCGTTGGTTAATTGATAAATAAATTGTCTTGTTGAAGTTTTCATAATTCTTGAGTTGTAGCTATCATAAAATTTTAACAATTCGCCAAACTGGACTTTTTTATTGTGACAAGAAAATCATACTAAATATTTTGATCATAATGTCAAAATCATATGGTCATCATTGGAATTAATTAAAATAGAAAGTAAGGATAGGACTTTCATAGCCAATCTACATATTACATAATAGGGATAGGATATCATGTCCACCTTTTTTCATGACTATTCTTCCTTAATACCATTAGATCATAATCTCAAGAAGAAAGAGAAAGGATAAAGGTAAGTTGAGATTGTGATCTAATGGTATAGGTAGAGTAGGCATGAAATAAGATAGGCTTAATATCCTGTCCCTACAAAATATATTGTTCTGCTAAAGTTGTACTGAAGATTATTGCTTCAAACCTGAGTTTAGTCTAGGATTGAAGTCTTAACATCAATATGAACAGAAAAGTTTATAAATATTGAAATTTTTTAATGCTTTTCAACCATACACCTAAATTCAAAGTGACGATTTACAGTAAAAACTTCGGGTGAAATAGTGCTGCTCCATTATAAATACTTAATTTCCTTTAATTTTCTTCTGAATTATAAAAACAAACACATATGTGGCAGACTTCACAGACAAAGGAAGTTTCGTATTAAGTACGATTAAAAATGAGCTCAAAAAGTTGAAAGAATGAAAGCTTATTGGATAAAAATGGTCATGCTAGGATCAGGGAGAATGCTTTTGTGACAATGAGATTGGTTTCAGTACATCTTTTAGCCTCAAAGGTATATTATTCTAGAGAATGAGATTGGTTTCAGTACATCTTTTAGCCTCAAAGGTATATTATTCTAGAGAAAGCTTTGCTGTAGTTGCCTTCAGAAAACAATGCAGTGCAGACTGTGCAGTCATTACACCATTTATTCCAGGAAAAAAATAAGTAATGAAGGGAAAAAGACAAAAAAAGGGTAAATGGGTGCTTTGTGGATTACCTTTTCAAGCTCATTCATTAAAATGCGACACATTCCATGTCGACGATACTGTAATCTGGTACCAACAAGAGGTATTTCTGCAACCTTATCTCCATAGATCCTAAAAGATTGAAATAGTAAATCAAGATGAGCATAGCACAACAAGGCATAAGAAAATGCAGCACAAATAGAAAAGGGAATCATACAATCCAACAAAGCCTAGTACTTGATGGAAATTGATCCTATACTCACCTAATGGTTGCCACACTAATCAGTTCTTCATTTCTTTCCAGAAGTACGGTATAGAAACCCTGGAAATTTAACCGATTAAGCTCTGACCTACAAAATTCCAAAGTACAGGTATCAGGTATTGACTCAGATTAAACTATAATGTAGCACAATTTAGAGAAGATATCATGATCATATGGTCAGAGTAGATATGGTAGATGTGAACAAATCCATTAGTAAATGGTATAAATGTGTAGCTGATAGGTTTAAATTCCTATCGTGAACAAAGAAAGAGAGTTTATTGAATTAAAAGAGAATTACAAGCAATGATAAAAGTGTAAAACTGCTCCCAGCATTGGAGGATCTCTCCAAGCCCCTGCTATGCAGAACTTACAATATGAAAAACCAGAATAATGCTACTCATCCCTCCTACTTTCATATATAGAGAGCATTAAACACTGCTAACTAATATTGCAGTTATTTTCTAAAATAAATGCTGCACTTAACCATAACAGCTACATTAATTCAGATCTTCCCACAATAACTGCCCATTAAATTGCAGTTAATACAATTACTAATTATTTATTTAAATAACTAACTCCTAAATACTACAAGAATAACTAACCACATTACATAACTGAATTACATCCATTACTTGTCTCTAACTGAAAATAAATTTCTATCAGTAGCCGTGTAGGAAGCCAAAAAATCCACATAAATATGAATGACCTACCCGATATTATCCAATAACAATTACTCCTAGAAATTATATCCTTTGCAGAAAATACATTTTTTCAACACTTATTTGTGCAATACAATTTGTACATTTTTTCTGCAGAAAATACAGATAGTAAAAAGACTCAAAAATCACTAGTCAAATGGAATACATTTTTTCTGCAGAAAATACAATACAAATCAAAAGGAAGTAAAGGATCCTCTTGTTAAATAAGACTTATGAAACATTCTCACATGAACAACTTTACCCTATAGATAAAACTAGAACCACTCCAATTGAACATCCCAGGAAAGGTGAGATTAAAAGGCGTAATATAAGATAGAACTATGGTCAGCAGGTCCCTCTGCCTATGATTTACACACTACGTATATGATGAGTACAACACAAACACAATATACAAAGAATTATAATAAAACATTATGAGCATATCTTGAAGGATAAGAATTTCTGACCATCTGCTGAATATAACATCTTCCACGAGATCTCTGCTAGAGAAAGGTTCCTTTAGGGGCTCGAAACATTCATGCATCACTGAAAGAGCAACGTTGAGTTTGCAGTAACTTTCTGCTAGCAATTCACTTTTAGCACTGCCAAGATTACAACTCTCAGAGTTGCTGAACTTCACTAGTGTCCAAGTTAGATTGCCCAAACCCACTGTAACTGGCACTCCTAACAGTTTGTTGAGGCCTTCATATATCTGCAAAAAATAGATATGAGAGTGTAGAGTAGAACTGGTGTAGTAAAAAAACCTTTTCTAGCAGCACATATATCAAAGACAGACAGCCTTATATGCTTCTCTGGCATTAAACTTAAATACCTTCTGCTTTTCAAGAAAATAAAGCCTCATAAATTCAATGAAATCACGTGTAACTGTGGACCAGAATCACATATGCAGAAGTATTGACAATACATACAATTTTGTTTCAATAAACGAGCAGTAAAATAATGCTTCGAATGAAAGTAAAAGCAGAATAAATTCAATAACAAAAAAAGGGAAAGAAAATCCTGGAAGTAAATAAAAAGGAACTGCTAATTTTTGGTGCAAAATATGACTAAAAATTTCTTAAAACTAGAAGAAATGAGGGAGGTGGATTTAATGTACCTTTTCACACTTTTTTCCACAGAACCAGTTTTCCTGATACCTTCTTGATTCATCCACAGCTCTACTTTTCACGCACCTAACATGATCTACATAAGATTGACAAAGATGACACCATAAGCATTGCAATGTTGATTTACATTATTACA